GTCTTGGAGGCTTCTCATTGGTGGGTGCTGCCCTCAGGGCTGTGGAATGTGCTGACTGCTATCTTCAAGGCCAGAGGAACCTGTTTATTCCTTATAAGGCCTTAAACCTGCCTGGGCCCCCTACATGTGCTAGGGCTTGCCTAATCTATAACCTCAGCCCTTGCTTATAACTTGTAACAAACAGCCTGAGACATAACTAAATGTAGGAGTCAGCCACAATGGAGTTGGTGCAGTTCGTCCCTTTAGTTCTTTTAAGCCAAGCAAATTACAGAAGTGAAAAGAGCCATTAGTCCTAAAGGGCAGGGGTCTAGGGACATGGATGTGGTGGGGTTCTACAGTTTCTTATGTTAGTTTCTATTAGTGTAACAAATCTTTGAGGTAATCAGTTTATGAAGAGAAAAAAGTTATTTGGGGTCATAAATTTAGAGGTTCCAGTTCATTATCAGGTCAGTCTATTGATTTTATCCCTCTTGTCTGAGGATAGCACTTCATAGTGGGAATGCATGGAAGAAAAGAAAAAGCCAGTCACTTCATGGCCCAAATGCAAAATAAATAAATAATAAATAAATAAGGAAGAGGAGGGTCCAGAATTCCAATAACACCCCAAAGGGCATATCCCCACTGTCTTGAGATCTCCTGATTGGCCCCAATCGGAGCCAACACCCTTTGTGTGTGTGTGTGAGGCTACATCTTTATTAAAATTGCCTGCCAAGCATTCAAATAACAGGTAGTTTTGCCATTAAAATTATAAATTGTATGGAGACTATTTCTAATTCCATTAGTAGTTCCAATGCTTCCATAATGTATGCTTTGCTTAAAGTGGTAGAATCATGAACATGGGCTGAGACTGCTGGGATTTGATAGAGCCAGTCCTAAAAGAAGCAAGGTCAAAGTAATAGGGAAAAAGAACCAACAACCATAGGCCCCACCTTTTAAAGTTTCCTCCATCTCCTAATAGCACCACTCTAGCAGAAGCCTTTAAGTCAGACATTGGAGATCCAAACTATAACAAAAACAAACCAGCCATATATAGTTCTATACAGTGTGTGAAGCATGAGCCATAGATTGAGGGTGCTGAAGAGGAAATGAAAAGATCATGAAGGGCCCCATGTATAGGTCTAGAGAACATGATTTTTATCCTGAATACATCAAGTTTTTCAAGTACATAAGAGATTTTTAATCCTGGGAACAATATTATTAGATGTGCCTGTCCACATAATGGGTAACAAAATTGAAGAATAGAAAGAATGATGACAGTAATTAGGTGAAATGTTGAGTTCTGAAGTTGAATAGTTGCAGTGAACTTCTAGAGGGTAAGATGTAGTCGCAGTTATTAGAGGCAAGGATAATTTATAATTGCTTACTACTTACTTGATACACTAAGGGAATGGTAAAGGTGCTCAATTTAATGAGGAAGAAAGTTTATTAAAGTTATTTAAAATACAGAGAACATCAGAACTTGTGACCTATTCTAGTTTACTTCTTTGTTACATGACCAAAAGCAACTTGGTGAGGAAAAGGTTTATTTTAGCTTATAGATTATAGTCCATCATCGAGGGAAGCCAAGGCAGGAGTGAATGTAGGATTTGAAGCAGAGACCAACACAGGAGAGCTACTTACTGGCTTGCTTTCTCTGGCTTGCTCAGTTACCTTTCTTATTCAGCCCAGGCCCATAAGCCCAGGGATGGCACTGTCCATAATGGGCTGGGCCCTCCCACATTAATTAGCAATTAAGAAAATGGGCCACAGACATGCCCACAGGCCAATTTGATGGAGGAAATTCCTTAGTTGAGATTTCCTTTTCCCACTTGACACCCGAAACTAACTATAACATGGCCTGTGATCAGAAATTGTTCACGTTCTTATTCAGCGTTCAATGTATGTTTGGAAAGATCTTGGTACTGGGAATAATTTTTAAAATAAATGATCCACTTCTTATTCTTCAAGAGCTCAGAGTACAATAATATATTGTAACTTTAAAATGTATTCAATTGTAAGAAATAATAAATATCTCTATAAAAATCAATTGTACAGCTATGTTATCAACTGTATTTTGGGATTTATAGATTACTATTTTAGGATCATTTACTTACTTGTTTTTAGCCAAGACATCTGAAAAATTAACTCCCCAGCCAAGTAGACCTGTTTTGTGTTAGATTTAGGAGAGCAGAAAAGGAAAGAATTTAAAGTTAAGAAATAAGAATCAGAGCCAAACCTACAACAGGCAGGGAATATGTTCATTTATTCAGTGAACACAGCAAAGGGCTAATAAACCCTTGGAATGAGGGCATTTGCACTGAATGCTGGAGCAGTTTGGACTTATATAGGAACTCTGTTGAACACAGCTGCAGGAATTTTCTCAGTGCCAGGGTCTAGTGTCCTTGAGGATCTCTCTCCCACAATTATTTTCTCAGGCAGGGGAACTATCTTAGGGCACTAAAGGAGAGAGGTTGGTTCCATAAACAGTCTCCCTCAGTCCAGGGAGCGACCAGTTCATAAGGCTTGAGCAAGGCCAGACTGCCAATTTAGGGCCAGTTAACCACTTTAAGGGATTTATGGTTATATTGCTTTTCTAATTAGGCTTATGGCTTGTCACACATTCTACTAGTTTGTCATAATCACACTCCAGCTCATCAGGGTTTTGACTAAGTGTTCCACATTAAACCTTCTAGAACCAGACTAGATATGTCTCCATTGTGTGCTGTACATTCTGGTTTTCTGTATACTTTAGTCTTAAGGAAAGACTAATGCAACCAATCCTTTCTTGTTCTTTCATAATTTCTAACCAGTATCTCTCATAAGTCCCTAACCTGTTTTGTGGCATTCTCAATCACTAAATTTATCTCATATTTCTTGGCAGTAGACATTTGATAGATCCTTAATAATTGTTAACATATTTAATATGATAAGCCTTTAGTTTAAGTCACCTTTTTCTTACCTAATCTAATTCAACTATTGTATTTGATTAAAAATTAGTATAATAAATACTTTAAAATTTGAATATACTTTTGTAAAATTCAAAAACAAGTTATGTTTAGGAGTACATGTATGTGGGACAAAGCGGGACAATGCTAAACATAAAATTTCTTCAGGTTTTGAGATAGCATTGACAAAAAATGGCATAGGTATTGGTAGTTACAGAGTGCTAGGAATGATCTAGGCTTTCTTTTCTATTCTTTTTTTGGGGGAGGGTCTTTTTTGAGACAGGGTCTCCCAGTAGCCCCAGCTGGCCTGGAACTCACTATGTAGACCAGGCTGGCCTCGAACTCACAGAGATCCACCTGCCTCTGCCTTCTGAATGCTGGGATTAAAGGTGTGTGCCACCATGTACAGATGGTTTAGGCTTCTTTAATGTGTGTGTGCATGTGTGTACTGATGTGTGCATGCAAATGTATGTCCACATGTGTGGATGCCAGAGGTCAACCTTGGGTATTATTCCTTAGGCACTGTCCACCTTATTATTGAGACAGTCTGTCATTGAAATGTAAGGCTTGCAGATTAGGCTAGGCTGGCTGGCCAGAAAGCTCTAGAGATATACCTCTCTCTACTTCCCCAGTATTGAGATTACAGGTATGCACCAACATGCCCAGTTTTTTACCTGGTTGCCGGGGATCAAACTCTGGCCCTCATGCTGCATGGCAAACATTTACCAACCGAACTATCTCCTCAGCCCCTCTTTAACTTTTGTTATGAAAGACATTATAGTATCCATTCTCTTACCACTGCCCCTCTGGTACATTTTAAAGAAAAATTCTAAAGCTTAGGTCAAATTTTTTTTTTTTGTTGTTCTTTTTGAGACAGGGTCTCCCTGTATCCCCAGCTGTCCTGGAACTCATTATGTAGACCAGGCTGGCCTTGAACTCACATGGATCTGCCTGCCTCTGCCTCCCCAAGTGCTGGGATTAAAGGCGTGTGCCACCACGCCCGGCAGGTCAATTTCTTGAATCAGTGTTTATTTGTGCATGCTGAGAAAGATCACTTAAATTTTAAAAAATCTAAGTACCATTTTATTATCACACTTAACAGACTTAATGTTTGGTCTATATTCACATTTGTCTTGATCATCTCAAAAAGGGAATATGATTCAGGCCTTCTATCAATAAGTACTTTTATTTTCTTTGAAAAATTCATAGAATCTATTTTGATCATATTCACCACTACTCCTTCCTTAACTCTTCCCAGATCCATTCCCAACTTCCTACCCCCGACGTTGTGTCCTCTTTTTTTAAATTTAATGACCCATTAACTCTAATTTTTTAATATTACACTAGATTTATCCCATGTGCCTATTATATATAAATAAAACAAATATTACTGGTTCAGAATAATTACCTCTTCTCTTTTTTCAGTGATAGCAGATTTGAGCTCTCATGCTCTTTCTCTCTCTCTCTCTCTCTCTCTCTCTTTCTCTCTGTGTGTGTGTGTGTGTTTTACTGGGGTTTGAACCTAGAACTTCACACATGCAGGACAAGTGCTATACCCTGAACTGTATCCCCAGCCCTCTTTTTCATAGGGTCTCACTAAATTTCCAAACTTGGCTTTGAACTCACTCTGTAATCTAAGCAGGCTTTGAACTTTTGAACTTCAGATTGTCCTGCCTCAGCCTTCTGAGTAGCTGGAAATTCAGGCCTATTCCAGCAGGCCTGGATTAATCTTAGCATTTTAAATCCACCCCTGTCTTTGTAGTTTTACTTTTTACCTCATTTGTTGGTTTGAGAGTAGTAAGTTTAAGTACTTTATAAGAAATGAGAAGTATAGGCCAGGTGTGGTGGTGCATGCCTTTAGTCCCAGCACTTGGGAGGCAGAGGCAGGCAGATCCATGTGAGTTCAAGGCCAGCCTGGTCTACGTAATGAGTTCCAGGCCAGCTCAAAAGGGGAGAGGGAGAAAGGGAGAGAGAGAGGGAGAGGGAGAGAGATGAAAAATAGTACCAGAACTCAAAGCCCATCCCAACTGAATTGCTATAGTAAACTCAAGTAATGATGATTAACTTTTAAAACAGGGTTCAACTCCACCAGTCACTGTTTTCAAAGGTTCCAAGAGACCTTACTTAAAAGAATGCGTTTTGATTATTAATCATGATACTGGGGAATGTCGCCTAGAAAAACTCAGCAGCAACATCACTGTAAAAAAAACAAGGTAGGTGGTTTGATGAAATAAATTATTTAATCAAGATAGAAATTTCTAAGGAAAAAAAGTTAATGGATTAAGTTGAATTATTATAGAATGTCTGCTTTAAAAACCATATGAGTCCAACAACCTACTAACAAATTATACATACAACTAGATCAAAGAATATATGTCTTGGTAAGGTTTATCAGAGAACGTTTGGTCTGTGCTCAAGCTTTATCTACATGGCACATGGTAATTAAAACTACCAGACTAGTGGAACTAACTTTCTTGGATGTTTAACAGCCATACTTTGAGGCCTATATTAATTTGGTCAGAGGGACATAAAGGACAGTTTTTGCTCCTTGCCCTCCTAGGTTGACTAAGTTCCAGGGGACTATGAGCATCTCTCAAAATGTCCTGTAACTGTGGTGAGTCTCCTGTCCTCTTGATCAAGGAGGACATGGAGACTCCATCAGATGGACTTGAACCAATGTCCAGTCTACAAAGAGGAGGGTCAACACAGATGGAACATTTCCTCCATGCTTCCAAGCGAAGCCCCAGCCATGTTCGAGCAGGACCTTTGACTTATCTTCACATAGATGGAACTGGTAAAAGAAAGGAACCAGGGGCTCCTCCCAAGCCCATATGACCCCTGAGGAACAGATCCTCAAATGACCTTAAGAGTAAAAATAAATTGGTTTATGTGGGCCAATTGTAGGCCCAAAAGGAAAGTATAATCAAAGATTAAAGGGGTCAGTATAATTTTTTAAGAGTCCATGTGTATAGCTAAAGGCTACATAACAAGAAACAATGCCAGAAAGGAGATACCTTCCTGTGAGTTATTGGCCAGGGTGGCCCAACAGACTCCCAGACATAGAACTGGGAAAATGAACAGTAGGCCCCAATGTTATCTAAAGGAATATTGACAACTGATTGATGCTAGATGAGGAACATCTGATCTTCCTAAAACAAGGATCTCTAGATAGGCTGACTAGATTCAGTGGATGGACAAGCACTGGGGAATGGCTGGGGGTGCTGACAACACAGTGGACAGTAACAGGGATGACAAAGTATATGGGCTCCAGTGGGGGTGGGGAGGCTATGGGAGGGTACCTTTGGGAAATGGGTATATAGATGAATAAGATTGTTTGGGATGTGCTGTATGATATACACACACACAAATCAACAAGTAAAAAATGAGTTATATTTGAGGAGGAAGCATAAAAATTTACTTCATGTTAATTAGTAGAGGTGATAAACATTACCACTGAAATCTACCTGATGACTTTATATCCATACTCAGGTGCCAAGGATCTGAGTGCAACCGACAATGACTAGTAATAATCAGACACATACAGATTAGAGACACGTGCATCAACGTCTAAGTGTTATTAGCAAGAACAATGAGTCTTTCTGTAATAAACTGTATTTTAAAATGA